TGGTCTCTAACCTGCGATGTTGTGGGCTTCTCCCTGAGGAGGTTTTCTCCATCACTGCCTCTTCCAGCCTATTTCATTTAAAGCAATTTCATTCTGCATCTCCAAATTCATCCCCAGGAGTTGGAAGGAGCAGGCACATCTCTGTCTGTTGGTAGCACTCCTATGTGTTGAAGGCGTCTGCACATCCCACCCCACGGGCTATGGCTTTCTGTCAGTGGGGTAACCCATGGGAAGGGTGGAAGGGTAAGAAACCCTTAGAAAGTACTGTCCCTGTTTCATACGCCCTCAGTGATGGAGTTAACATTTTTCACTGATGGAGTTAACATTTTTCACAATTTACAATGAAATTGAGACAAAGCACCGGCTATTTAAAACTTCAGAGAAAAGCTGGGGACACCCTAGGTCACAGCACAGAAGACATCAACCACAAAAGGACCCTTCAGTCTAGCGGACAAAGACACTGCCGGGCTGGAGAAGGCTGGAATGGGACAAAATTCAACCAAAACTTGCAACTGTTAAGAGAAGCTCCTGGTCTCAGCTTCAGCCCTGCAGCAGTGCTGGCGTTAAGGCTCTCGGGCTGCTCACCGTGTCCCGGGCATGCAGCAGAGCTTGGCAGCAGGCGCGGGAAGGCCGGCGGATTCTGCGACATCCCAGCTGCATCGCTCATCGCATCAAATATTCATGATCCAAATGGATGCAGAGCTCCTCCAGCCTGCCGTCCGCCTCACCGCCTCGCTGGCAGGTTGCATTCCTGACAGCCAGCATCAGATCTGCTCTGGCTGCGAGTGCTCGTCAGGAGGGACTTGAGGGACCTTCACAAACACGGCTGAGGGAAGCCCCACAGATTGAAATATTTAAGAGCAGCCAGGACGGTTCCTTAGTAACTGCCCCGAGGAGACCAGCCGTGCACTGGTGGCTCTGTGTGTGCTTGCATCCGTGGCTGCAGGACAGCAGCCTCCTAAAAGCAGCTCAGCAGCTCCAAATGGCGATGGGAAACGCTTGTTCAAACATTTGCAGCGCAGGTATCGGGCAGAGCTGTGTGACAGCACCCAGCATCACCCAACCACCGCCATTGGGGCCTCCCTCCCCTAACGCCCCACAGGTTTTCTTGCTCCAGACAGGTTCTGTGCAAGGAGCTGCAGCGAAACCTGGGATAAAACCCACTCTCCACCAGTTTCAGGGCACAAAGTCTCCCGCCTGCCCCTGCCCAATGTGTCTCGCTGCCTGTGGTCTCGCCAGCGGCCGGGCTCCATGGACAAAACAGGGTGCCAGCGTGATCCCTGTGCTCCCTGCCCGCGTTATGCTGCTTTTCGGCACTAAAAATTCATGACATTTGTTTTTCCCTTGCAAACTGCACCAGGGTACCTGAACACCAAGTGCCCAGCGGAGAGGGGCTGTCACCACTGGATGAAGGCAAAGGCACATCACCAGTCTCACAGGGCCCTTCTGCCTGGCACCGGTGTGAGTAACACTTTTGCCAGCTCCAGCGCTCCCGTTTGTCCCGGGCATGGACTGGTAATTAAATACCAGGCACAGGAGAATCCCCACCCAGTTTTCCTCCATGGAAGACACAACAGGTTGCAAAGTTCATCACTAATCCCAGAGACAGAATAGCTGAAAACCAGAGGATTTAAAATGTGGGTTTATGAACACTTCAATTTTATTTAATTATTTAATTTTTTTTTTAGCTGAAAATACTGCCGAAGGAGCAGGTGGAGCAGTTTCCACCCTGGGCTGCTCATCACTGGGATACTGAAACGCTTTGCTCCAGAGAGACTTTTTAACGTTTTTTCCTCCCCCTTAGCAGAAGGCGGCTCTTGCGGGGCCGGGCTCTGCCGGGGTCCCGCTCCTGCCGCAGCCCCGCCGCTTGTTTCGCAGCTCCCTCTCCTGCTCCTGCGGCGAAACAGCACCCGGGAAGGCGGGGAGCAGATCCCGGGAATTGCTGCTTCCATCTCCAGTGATGCTGCAAAGGCTCCTCGGTGGCACTGAGCCCCATCGTTAGTTTCTGGGAAGGCAGGCTACGGAAAAAGCAGCTGAAGCTCCCTCTGGAGAGGCAACGGTGATGCTGTCCTCTAGAAACTGTACTACTTCTGCAGAAAGAAGTTTGTTCACATAGTGAAAGCAGAGTTCAAAGTCATCACTCAGAGGTAATTCCCACAGTCTATCAGGATTTTGCCAGGGAAAAGATTTTTTTTAAAAAAAAAAAAAAAACAAAGACTGGGGCAGCTAAAAAATATGTATATATAATACTGCTTAAGAGCAGAAAGGAATTAACCTATTTAACACCAGAGAAAACTTCCATAGTGGCACAGGAGTGTGCGGCTGGAGCAATTAACACAGGCAAAGAAGTGTAAAGTCACTTGGCCTGTGACAAAAAGTGTTGCACTGGGACTGAGCAGTGACTGAAGAGGAAGGAAGTAACGCCGTCACCATCATTGCAGTGTATCCGCGTTGGTCCTGCGCCCTCACAGTCACAGTGCAACCTCTTGCGGATGCTCTTGCTCTGATCTAAACCAGCCGCATTGCTGAATCAGCAGAAAACTCGGGGCTACTGGAGGGATGTGAAAAAAACTCTTAGGGAAACTAATACTTTCACAAGCAGAGAAACAACTACCAGAGCCTGGTTTCTGATGGACCTGTGACTTGTGGTGGGGTCTCTCATGTCTGGTGGAGACACATTCCCACAGCAGTCCTTCCCCAAGTAGGGGCATTAGCACCCTCATCTTCGTTCATCCAGCTATTGGCAGTGACTTTGCAGCACGCTGATATTGTTCCAGCTTCTGTCTTACATCAAAATGAAACAGCTCGAAGGTTCAAAAGGTGTGGAGAGAGACTGACAGGTCAACGGTCAAGCAAAGTTACAGCTACACATGCAGAGAGTCCGCATAGCAGACTGAGCACACAAACAACATTTTCTTAGGAAGGAGGGGTTAAAAAAAAAAAAAAGCTGAAAGTTTTCTGAATTCTTAGCAGACTGGGAAAATGCTGTGAATGGGAATACAATATGAAAGGGCTTTAGGGCCCGGTGAAGGACCTCTGAAGTGCTTCTTGAGTAGTACCATGACAGGGGAAATGCAGCACCTTGGAGCAGACAAAGCCAAACAAGAGTGCAGGTTTGGAAAAAGGAAACGGAAAGCGCAGAAGCAAAAGAACCACTTAAACCACTTAAACCAGCATGGAGGAGCAGGAGAGACTGGGGAGAACACCCAGTCCTGTGCTGGGGGTTGCAGAAAAGGGGAATCAGGAACTTTATGGAAACCAGAAGCAAAAACATAGCAGCAAATATCCATGTACAAGCTTTCCCGCCAGCCCGAGAACCCCCTGCACAGGTGGTCTCACCAACTCCAGTGTGTCCTCCCAGCCCTCCTGCCCTACGCACCGTGGAGGGCATCTTGGAGCTGAATAATTGATTTTGTTCTGTATTTTCCACTCGTGGGTGGCTCTGAGTAGCAGGTCTGGCAGGAAACTCTGGCTGACGTGCTGACTGCAAGTGTCAGGCTCCAGTTGCCAGACGCTGTCACATGCGATTACCAAAGACTTCAGCCTACCTGGACTTTCTGCTCTGTAGAAATGTTGCTTTTATGACATTTAAGAAAAAGGTATCACACCTCTGCCTTTGCTTAGACATTGAGGATACTCAGTGTTTACCCTGTTGGATCTAGGAAAGCAGAATGGGAGCAAATGCCCCAAAGGAGAAGGAGCCTGCCATGGGGAATACCCTGCCCTTCTCTGGGTCCATAGCTCCAGGACAGGAACTTTATCATACAATAATGGAGCAGCAAAAAGAGATGTGTCAATACACACCTCTTTGGGGTGATTTCTGGCAGCCGAACTTTGATTTTCATGGCCTCTGCATCTACCTCGCGGATACAGCTACACATACCACATGGATTTTTGCTGATAAGAATTGAATGCCTCCGTGTGGACAGAATCGACCCCTTAGCAAATACTGCCCTAATAAAAGCCGCCTCGCATCAGCCAGGCTGCAACACCGGGCAGCTAAAGGTGGGCTGCCCCTGCTTAAACATGGACAGCCTGGGACAGGGGCATCAAGGGGTATCTGACAAAGGCTGGAGGAGGAGAGATGGGACGGAAGATGTCCATCATGTACAAGAGCCGGGTGAGCGCATCGTGCCGCATCCCACAGCAGCTCGCTGAGGACCAGAGCGGGGCAGGAGGAGAGACCTCAAAAAATTCCCTTATAAACTAAGGATGTGCCAAGACCAAGAATCCCCCTGAGTCTTCCTGTTATTATTTTGAAAAGAAAAAAAAAGAAAACGTTTTTTATTATTAAAAGAGACTATCTCAGGAAGCTGAAGACCTCCTCAATACCTGCTTGCATTATTAAAGGGAATGAATCATTGAATGCACCTTGAGATGCAGTCATAGGTATCAGGATAAATCAATCCCCAGGAAAGAGAAGCATCAGCCAAGGGTCTTATTTGCAGCTCCTCTTCAGAGCAATTTCGCGGTGTGCAGGCCCCTGATCTAGGAGGGCACCTGGTTCCTTTAATATTAATAACCACCACACAGCACTGAGCAGCACACGGATCTCGGGCTGTGGGGAACACTGCTGCTTTCTGTACAGAAACCACTGTCTGTGGGGGAGCCCAGGGCTGGGTTGGGGAGAAACATAGTGCTCTCTCTTGGTAGTGGTGCTAAAGGAAAAAAACAAGCATCAACCCTCAGCAATAAGATACATTAGCATGACAGATGGCTTGCAGAAAAAGAAAAAGTATCTCGAGTTTTGAGATTTGTGCTGACTACATGCAGCCACAGAAAGGAACTATTCCAATTAGCATTTGTACAGACTAATTGAGGAGCATGGAGAGTATCAACCCAATTTGTCGCCATTGTGGAGCAGTCATTGTTCTTGATTATTTTTCCCAATTATCCCTTCAGTCACAAGTCTGGGGACAGAGAAAATGCCACTTTGGTTTTTGCCTTCCTGTGCCTGTATCCGCTTTCCCCGCTCCCTTCCCGAGAGAGCACGTGGAGCCATGCCCAGCAGCTCTCTGGGCTGCCGCTCGCATCCCATCGGCAAAGGTAACGCCGCTTTCCTGGGTACCCGAGGTTATCCCTGCCTGGTTAAGCAAGTCCATCACGAAGCAAACATTGTGATTCATCAATATGGCTAAAGGCAACCGAGTTTTCAGCCACACGGCCGTGTGCAGCTGTCATTTTGCATCGCTGTAATGCAAAACCAGCCCAGGCTTTCTCTGGAAGGAAATTCCTATCACCATCGAATGTACCTGGGGGGAATGCTTCCCCGAACATGTGCTGGAAGGCACAGCCCTGGCACCCATCAATTATCTGTCTCCTTCTGTTTGTAAATTAGCCCTGAAACACAACTGCTTTTTCTGCTTACCATGGTTATGTGCTGTGGCTGTGCCCCCCGCCCCGGCGCAGGGCGGGCAGAGCCAGAAATCGGCACCTACCTGCAAAAACTCCTCTCACCCATCCCTACCTACCAGACCTGCCCAAAGAAAAATGGGAAAATATTCTTCCATGGGAGCTATAGCCTTTCAGGAACAGAAGGTGGCAGACGAGTTTGCTTTGAGTGCCTGGCAGAGATCGCTGTGATATTACTCAAAAGTTCAGAAGCGTTGAATTTCTCGGGGCGCAGCGGTGCCCACAGCCCCCAGCCCAACGCAGCAGCGCTGCAGCGAGCGGTGGGCTCGGCACGGGCTCCATGTGGTAATGTGGGAAAGACGGAGCCTTTCCCGTGGATGTGCTCACCCTGGAAACAGGCATGTGATTGTTAATGTCTCCAAATCTATCCTAGAAAAAAAAAATATATATAGTTAGCTTTTATTGTTTAAGCTACAGGCACAGCCAAGAATTGAGCAAATCAGGACACAGTAAAACCTATCAATTTGTGTCATTTTTAAATGTATGTCATTTTTCTCAGTCTTTGGGGATTCTTGTTAAGGTGCTCACGCAGACAGCACCTAATGCACATCTGAGCACAGAGTGATGGAACTAATCCTGACACGGCCCACGCAAGAGGCAGCGCTCCAATGCAGACAGAGGGAAACCACACCGCATCTGTGCGGGACAGTAATTTTCCCCAGTGTAGAAAAAGAGAAGACGCCACTTCCCCACGGCGGGCTTTGCCCCATGGGCGGCTGCAGGTGGTGCCGAGGGCCGGAGCTGCAGCACCCGCAGCAGTGGGTCTCGTTAGCGAGAAAGGGCACCGCAAAGGCAGTGCAGGCAGGTGGTTGCTGAGCCTGCTGCATCCCCCCGGCCCCGCTCCGCACTGGGAGCCCGTCCGCGCTCAGGGCTGGCAGCCTCACCTCCTGCGGTCCCCCCGGGTCGCTGCCTGCCGGCCATGGGCAGCGGGGTTTGCTGTCAGGCTCCGGTGGGGGTTGGCCCCTTTAATTTGTGCTGAAGAGGTGGGAAGAGATGGGGCTAAAAAAGGTCTGCAGTGAGCAGTGAGGGTCCTGTGAAGGGTTTGTGCTCTGGCCAGGCACAGCTGCAGCCGTCCTGCCTCGCCAGGTGGAGGAGAGGGGGCATCAGCTCAGGTAAGGGTCCTCCTCTCTGCTCTAGCATTGCTGCTTTTCCACTGAAGTTTCTCTCATCTTATCCCAAAACCTGATTTTCTCAGGAGCCTCTGCAGGCATCAGCAGAGGTCTTTTGCTATGCCCACTGGAGAACCTGCTGGGACTGCAGTTTGAGCCTCCACAGGTGAATTTCTCACCCAGAAAATAAAGGTTAAGCTGAGGCTAGCAAACCCTGTGTCTCGTGGCCTGAGCTGCTGGGAGGTCCAGGTTTGTTTGGGCAGCCGAGGACCTCTCTGTGCTGGACTATGTCACAGGCCCAAGGGGAGGGAAGAAGGTTGGTTGACATGAAGGGCTTTAAGTGAATTGAAAGCTGCTATTTGCTAGCTTTAAAAGCCATATTTTTACATTCCTGTCTTCACCCCCCCAAAAAAAAGCTCTCCTGATATGTATATATAGACCACACATAGGTGAACACAAGAGATCTTGCCCCCTAAGTAGGAGCAGGGTGGGAGAGATGGGCCAGAGGAAATAATTATGGTCCTGGTGAGGAATACTGTGATTAAAAATATTAATGAGTTCCTCCAGCTCTTAACCAGAGAATACTGTAACCAGGTGGTAAATTCCTGAGTGGATAAACCACACTGCTAATTCCTCTATCCATCTTCTGCTGCAGCAAAGCTTGTGTTACAGTTGGGATTGCCAGTTTTCACCTAATCATCGGGCTGCAGCTTGGCATTGCTCATCACCCATTAGGAGTCACTTTAACAAGAAAAGATGGTTAAAAAATTGATGTCTCAACTCCACAGCTTCAGAAAAGTCTCTTCAGACTTTACATATGGAGGGAGCTGTTTCTTCACCTTCACTTTCTGACAGGGCTGAAGTGTTGGTCATTCACTGAAAAATTGTACCTGGGGGGAAATCCAGTCTTTGGTAAGGTTTGGCTCCAGCTGCTGTCTCCCAGAATAGGGAATTTTGTGCTTTCAGGCAATGATGGAAAACTCTGGTAGTGCTTTCTTTCCATACCAGGATACTTTTTTTTTTTTCTTTTGTTCATCTGTGGCTTTGATGAGCTTCAGATGAAAGCTGTGAGCCTGGCATAGAGCTGGATCCTTTGAGAGCCCTGGTGGAGGTTTTTAATCAAAACCCTTATTTCTTCAACACTTGATCTTAATAACACCCATTGCCATTATGAACAAATAAAGGTAAGTAACAAGCCTTCCCTACCCGAGTTGGACTAATTATTGGTAGTTCAAAACTATAAATCAAAGATAACTTCCCTACTCTGCATCTTTGGAAAACTGGTAGGCCATGCTCCACCTAGAGACAAACAGGACAGCAGTAGGGGTGTTATCTTCTACTTAGTTCCCTGCTAATATCCAATTTATAAAGAACACCTTTAGCCGGGAATTGTTTTCAACTGAAGTGCGTGGGTACTGGCAAAATGAGCTGCATGGCATTAATGTTCTCTCAAAGATTCAAAAATGTTATGCAACAAAAAATTGCAAATTCACACCACTTCTTTAATAGACTTTCTAATGTATACTTTAAAAAATAAAAAAAAAGCCTGGGTTGCAGAGTTTTCTTCTCAAGCTGTCTAAGCTTGCTATCAGGAGCAGCTTCAAAGCCATTTTTCTTTTCATATGCTTGTCTGGTGTGTCTAACTGAGCATGATTACTTTTTCCTAAACGAATAGATAATTTCGCCTTATTTATAAGTAGAACACCAGGACTTTTTGTCTCTGACACTATTGGGCTGAATCTCAGGATGGTTTAGGGTAGCATGTGTACATTATTTAATGAAATTTGGTTTGTGGGATTTTTTCCTTCTACCTGAATTTGTTTCCAAGTAATATGTTTTTGCCATAGTGCATTCAAACACACTTGAAATATTAATGAGGCAAGTAATGGCCCATTTCAATTGAAGTTTGCCGTAATACGCAAGTAATCCTTCACAGGTCTGTTTTAGTAACGATGACGATAGAAATGTCTAATTTTCTCCCCAGCCAAGTATTCTGGTTGGGTTTCGGTGTGTGACAGTCACCAGCTGCACAGTGGCTGAACTCATTACAACAACTGCTGGGAAAAGGGCTCTTGCTGGCGCTCAAGTTCTTGACGCAAAACTGCTTTTCGGGCCACGCATTCATTTCTGGTCAAATATCCAAGGCCTTTGAAAGCTGCTAGAAAAACCAGACTGACTCTTAAGATGGTGAAATTCTTTTATAGCCACAATGACTTCTGGTCCAAAGCTTAAGGCTTTACCACTCCAACTTGGGCAGATCTCTGAGTTTTTCCTGGGACCAGCTGGGAGCCAGGGGTTGGATGGGAGATAGGACTTTGACTTGATGTGTCAAAGGGGTGCTGGGAGGATGTGCCCATCTCCCCACGCGTTGCCTAGTCCAGCTGCTGCCAGATTGACATTATTAGTAGAAGGCCCCTGAGATGAAGTTGCCTTTGAAGAACTTGCCTGAAGGGTCAAGATGGAAAAAACAGAGCACAAAAGCTACCCGTGGAGTTCAGCATCACTGGTAGGGATGGCTCGTCACTGCAGTGGCCAGTTCAGAAATGAGGGCAAGTGCCTGAAAGGAAGATGAATGCGCTATGGAGAGCTCAATCTCCTGGTTTTACAAGCGGTTTGTGGCAGGACCTTTGCTAATGTCATGGCTTTCCTGGAGTCTCAAACCTCTCAAAGCTGCCTTCCAGGAAACGCAGCCTCCTTTGTGACCCCAGAGGAGAAAATAGGTTTTGAAGATGTTAAGAGGCTCAGCAGCTTTGGAGTGAATCTGTGAGAGATTTGTATCACCTACAAACCCATTTTCCTGAGATTGCTGACTTTTTTCAGGACTGTCAGGCTGGTTTGCGCTTAGGCTTTATTCAGACCTTGCAAGGAGAGATCCCTGTGTCTGGGTGCGTTGCTGTGAACTTGGACCAAAAGCTGTTTGGGCTGGGCTAGCGATGCCAACGCGAGCCCTTTTCTGCAGTCCTGCCCGTGGGTTTGGTCTGGCAAGGGCTACAGTTAGGGGTGCCCCAGCCTGTGCTGGGTTGTCCACTGGCACCACCGAAGAAGTAAATCAGATTGACTGTGGGCTGCAAATAAAGATGCCAACAGCCTGAGCTGTTTGGGCTGCTTGAATTATATACCAGGCTGGAGTCATTCTGCATTTTGTGTGTTTTGTGAAGGCAGCAGCCCTTCTGGGATGAAGGTGTGCGGCTGGGGCAGCATTGCTCTTCTCTATGTGGCACCCAGTCCCTTCCCTTGCTCTCTGTGTGGGGGTGAGAAGCAAAAGGGAGGAAAAGCAAGACATGGGTATCCCTGCTCCATCAGGGAAATTGGCTCTGAAAGTAAACTGCTATCCCAGGGAGGCAGGAATAAGTCCAAATCCTGGAAACACAAATCACTCTGCAGCAAGCCCTTATCTAAGGTGCCCGTGAGCCCTGCCGGGGTGAGTCAGGCATCTCTTCGAACTCCCAGCACGGCCACTGGTTTGCAATGAAAACCTGAGCCTCAGGAAGGTGCCCAGAGGCATGTTTATGGGAGAACTCCCCA